CCGGAGCCGCGCCCCGCGCGGGACCAGGTCCTGCGCACCGCGGTGGCCCGCGCCCGGCCCGGCCCTCGGCTCGCCTTTCCACTTTACTTAACTTCGACCTGCGTGGCCCGGGGGGGCTGGGGTTCCTGCGCTTTACTTGGCGCTGGGTGAAAGCGATGGCTTTCTCCTTCCAGTGTTTGGACTGTCGAGAAGTTTTTGCTTTTGCTCGAAGTCATATTCGTCATCTCAACAATAAATAGTTTAGGTGCCAAGATTCTTGTGAAACTGTATCGTTCAGACATTCTCTTGAAGTCTGTAGGGAGGACAGAGAAAGCAGATAAAAACCGAGACCTCTTAAATCATCTTTCTGCAGCCCGGTGGACTGGAGTCCAAGTCAGGAGTTTGTCTCGCCTTTGATACCTCACAGCGGCGTGGCAGGGCAGGTTTCATTAAATGAGATAATAGGTTTGGGAACAGGAGGTCTGGTTATTGGGATCGCTGTTTCAGTCCCAGGAGATGACTTTGCACGTGAAAAGACTCCAGACTAATTCGAACCATTTTAAATACCAGAATCATTTTCTAAACTGTTCCAAATCAAGCATTTCCTTTTCTGTAGGACTTACAGGTGGTTTTTCTTCTCCTTGCTCTTTTTTTTTTTTTGTATACTGAGCATTGCAATCTACAGATCAACCAATTGCCTAGGCTTAGTTTGTCCCTCTATTGGAAGTTGGTTTCTGTCTTTACTCTTAAGACTTGGTTTGCGCACCTGTTGCTCCTTGGGCTGCCTTCAGGCTTTCAGGTGAGTTTTTCCCAAAGGGCCGGGCTCAGAAAAACCGAAATAACTTCAGCGGAACTCTGAAAGCTTTCAGAAGCCTTCGTTTTTAAATATCCAGACGTCACTAAGTTCACTTCAAGTTAATCATGATCGTTCCTGATTTAAACAAAACAAAACAAAACAAAACACCCAGGCCAAGTGGAACACAACTTATCTGATTCTGAAAGATGGATTCAGCACATTCTTAAAAGTTCCTTCACACAAAAAAACTTGGAAATGTCACAGCTAAAAAGAGGCAGCTAATCAACCACAAAAACGACTTAGATATTTAGAGCCCTTCCCTCTTCCCCTCCATGTCTGCCATTGATTGTAGGGTTTTGGGGGTGTTACTGTAACGTTAACCCCCCCACCTCCATACTGGGACTGAACCCAGGGCCTTACACATGTGTGCTCTTGTTTTACCACTGAGCCTCATATCCAGCCTTTTTATTTTTTATTTTGAGGTAAGCTCTCCCTAAATTGCCCAGGCTGGCTTCCTTTAAGCCCTTGTCCTCCTGCCTTAGCCTCTCAAGTACCTGAGATCACAGGTGTGCACCTGCTTCCTGCTCCTTGTTATTTTTTAATTGCCATTGATAACATTGTAATAGTGGCCAATGGTAGAGTTTTGAGGCATACACAGAATAATAATTTCAGCTGTGGAGTGAAGTTATCTGTTCCTTGGCTTGAACTCACATTATCATCATCATCATCATCATCATCATTTTTTGTCTTTTTGAGGCAGGATTTCACTGTGCAGTTCAGACTGGTCTTGAACTCACTTTGTAACCCTTGAACTCTTGGCCATCCTCCTGCTTCAGCCTCCTTTGTGCTGAGATTACTGGTGTACACCACCATGCCTGGCTTGAAGTCACTTTAAAATGATTGTTTATACATAGGTTCCATTATCCTGTAAATAGAAGTGCATTATTTGTGGTAAACAGTTTCCTCAGTTCTTTGTGGCTTCTCTTAACCCTCACTTACATTTCTTTCCTTTTTTTTGAGACAGGGTTTTGCTATGCAGTTCAGGCTGGCCTTGAACTTACTTTGTACCCTGGGTTGGCCTCAAACTCACAGTGATCCTCCTGCCTCAGCCTCCCAAGTGCTGGGATTATAGGCCTGTGCCACACTCCCGGCTTCACTTACATTTCTTGACATGCACGTGGGCTTCTTTTTTCAGTGATCACCGCAGATAGTTAAACTACATGAAGCAGTTGTTTACATAAATGTAAAGGTATTATGGAATATACTACAATGTAGTGGAATCTTAGGGCCAGTGATTTTTAGTTGGCACCTACTATTCATTTAAAAAGGCCAAAACGAAATAATAGTCCTTTCCAATAATTTTGGAAAGGAGCGTATTACTTTGAAGAGTTATTGCTTCTGGGAAAACTAATGTATTAAGTAATAGCATGTAATTATGGCAGATGAACTTTATACCTGGTTGTTCCTGTCAGAGCGAATAAGTGCAGCAAGTAGCCTGACTAATCACACACGAAGACAAGGTGAGATTGTAGCATGGGGTGAGATGTAGTTTTGCTTATGGACTTTCCTATTTCGAGTCATATTAGCCATCTTTTTAGAAAAGTTTGAGGATTTCCAGAAACCTTTGGTGTGTCATTAAGTTCTGGTTAGGTGTTTGAGTTTTTTGAAGTGGTTGTTTTTCGTTTTTTGTTTTTTTTTGCCTTTTTGAGACAGGGTTTCACTGTGCAGTTCAGGCTGGTCTTGAACTCCCTATGCAGCCTAGGCTGGCCTCGAACTTGGAGTGATCCTCCTGCCTCAGCCTCCCAAGTTCTGGGATTACAGGTGTATGCCACCACACCTGGCTATTTTGAAGTGCTTTTTTTTTTTTTTTTATTTAATATTTGTTATGGAAGTGTTTCAGTTTTTCTGCTAAACTGTAGATTTGGGAAACTTAGTACGTAAATGTTAAGGTTAGGCCCTACTTCAGTAATACCAAGAATTATAAAGGTTCCTTTGTCAAGAATATTTTTGTATTTATGCATTGTAACCTACTAACAAAACAATCAAAAAATAGAAAGGAAAACAGTCTCCTGACAAGTTGTCTTATTTTCATTCTAATCTGTGTTCACACGCATATGTAATTTTGCATAGTTTTAATGTTACGAGCTTTATTTTTGCTTTTCTTCTGAAAGATGAAGCTAAATGGGCACATTTCTTGTCATAAGACCTTGAAGTTCTGTTTGCAGGTGCCATTATTCCTGTTGTCTTTGGGTCTGTACAGCTCAGCAGAGAATCGGGTCTGTGTCCACGTTCTAGGCGGGGCACCTGTTCAGCACTGTTAACCAATCTGATCATTAAAAGAGCTGAAAGTTTTATGAGCATATCCGACATTATTAGTTGGATCAGCAGCAACACAATCCTTTTCAGGAATTTGACGTTTTATAACTTTAGGTGGTTTAAAAATATTTAATTGGCAAGTGAACATTTACTGACTGCCAGGTTTCTAGCCTTGTGTGTATAGATGGCTTGAGATCTTCACTCGAGAGGCTGCCCTTGTTTTAATATGCATAAGACTGACTGTCAAAATAAATAAGTTATATAAAACGTGTTTGGAAAATACCTTTGCCTAAGGGAGTGAAACAGAAAATTACATTAGAAATTGAGTGAGAGAGAAAAAGCGAAATGGATTGCTTCGGGTGTTAGGGAGCGTGGACAACACATTGATTTTAGCAGGTACTTCAGAGGAGTTTCCTTTGCATTTTGCAATTCTTGATGCAGTGAAAGACACAGTGTATGTAATCATGTCAGATAGAGTCAGTGCTTTGGTAAATCATAGCCTGGTATCTCAGTGAAGGAATTGTGATGCATTTGGTTCTTTTCCAGTACCAGAAATCGAACTCACGATCTTGCGCTTGCCAGGCAGGTGCTGTGCCGCTGAGCTAAATCCCCAGCCCCTGTGATGCAGTCATTAAAAGGGAGGATCAAAACTGTAACAGGGAAGACTTTCTGTTTTTTTTTCAAAGGAGAGGTTTGTTTTAACTTGTGAGGAAGACTTTTTTGTGTCAGTGGGAAAAGCAGAATGAAATAATATGTGTAATTACAGTTGAATCTAGTGGGTCAGAGCTAGAAAGAATCCTGAAAAAATGAAGTTGTCGTTCAGAGGGTTTTATTTGCTAAGAGCCTGCTTAGTATTGCCTGGTGTTATCATATTCAATTTTTTTTGTTTGTTTTTGTTTTTTTTCCAGTACCAGGAATCAAACTCATGACCTTGCGCTTGCCAGGCAGGTGCTGTGCCGCTGAGCTAAATCCCCAGCCCCTATATTCAGTTTCTTAAAGTGTGCTTTAGAGCTGAGAATATAGCTGGGTGGTAGAGGTCTTGCCTTGCCTGTGTAAGGCCTTGGGTTCGATCCCCAGCACCAAAGAAAAGGTGTGCTTTAGGGCCCATGCTTACAAGGAAGTGACTGTCCTGTGCAGAGATAAGATGGAAAGGTAAACAGCTGTAGCAGACTGCTGGCTATTAAGTGCCGGGTGAGTGACAGGAAAGTATAGGAATTTTGAGGCAGAAAGGCTCTCTGGAGGCCAGGTGATTAGGAAAGACTCTGCTGAGGGACGATGTATGGACAAAAGGCTTCCAGGGAAGTGTGATTTGAGCGGTCAGGTGGTGAGCCTGGAGGAGGACCAGTGGCCTGGGAGCAGAGCACAGGGCAGGAATGAGCCCGGTGTGCTTAGGCAGCAAAGACCAGATTCACCTGGCTGGAGGGGGGATTCCATAAGGTTGCCTGGAGAAGGACAGATTGTGAAAGGCTGGGGGAACTGCAGGAAGTCTGGGATCCTAGGCCAGAAGTGTGGCTTCAGGTGGCTGGCTGGCTGGCTGGTTGGTCCATGCAGTTTGTTCAGCCTTTTAGAAACTTGTGTGAACACATACATGAAAAAT